CCTAGCACCAGATCCTACGAATCTTCTCAAAGGGGAGGTGTTAGTGGGACATAGATGGATTTAAAGCATGATTACGTCACTACGCGCTGATTGGCTAATTTCCTACCAAATCAGCGCCTGATCGAAGCTTGGAGAACAGGATAGAAAATTCTCGTCTTATTAGCTGCATGCTGATTGGTCAAAACCAGTCCAGTCGATCACGTGAATTTTGTTCCAGAAGTTTTCTCATGTAAAGGCTATAAATAGACTAGCATTGTATTTATCTTTGCCTTCAAGCCTTCTAGCCTTCTTCGCTTTCAAGCCTTTTTGCCTTGGCTTTCGCCATCACCTCCAGCTTCTTTTCTTTGCTATTTTGGAATACAATCCTTCCTGTTCAACCGTGTTCTGATTTGTGTTACTTGTCCAGTGTCTTGTGTCAAGAATACTAAGCAATAAGATTTAGCCGGGAAATATCCTAACTAACCGTCACAACAGTGGCGACGGAGAAAAAGGAAAAAAATTTCAAGATGCCTATTTCAGATGATCAGCTTAACCGAATACTACAACAACAGCAAGCACAATTGGATGCACAAATGCGGTTGTTGGAGACCCTAACTCAACAGCTCAACATCCAGTGCTCGAGTCCACATACTATTTTAAATACGTCTTGTGAAGCAGTGGCTAACAGCATACCAGAATTCGTCTATAATCCTGAATGTGGAAATACTTTTCTGACGTGGTTCAAACGTTGGGAAGATACATTTAGAATTGAATTCGGTAAACAAGATGATGCATGGAAGACTCGGTTGTTGCTGCGTAAGTTGGGAAGCAATGAGTATGAACGTTACGCTGACCACGTATTACCGAAGTTACCTCGAGAGCTCAGTTTCGAGGAGACAGTAACTCAGCTGTCAGATATTTTCGGCGAATCAGCATCATTGTATAGTATTAGATATCATTGTCTAAATCTGGTGAAACACGAAGATGATGAATATGCGGTTCTTGCAGACGTCGTCAACAGAGAATGTGAACGGTTCAGGTTACGCTCGTTGACGGAAGACCAATTTAAATGCTTAATATTCATCAAAGCTCTTCAGTCACCGCAAGATGCGGAAACCAGAACTAGACTTTTGATTCGAATGGACCAAGACCCTAACGTCACACTCAGAACATTGACAGATGAGTGTAAACGCCTACAAAGCATCAGGCACGACAACATGTTGATTGAACAGGTAAATCACAATTTAACCAGCAGTAGTGTCAATGCTATTACTAGGTTAAAGGTCCAGAAGCCGATAACATCTCGTAACAAACCAACGACGGCATGTTGGTTATGTGGTGATTGGCACTATGTACGATTTTGTCCATTTAAAAAACATAAATGTCAGATGTGCCATAAACGTGGACATAAAGAAGGCCATTGCCAACCAAATCGTACGCCTCAACCCAAGAAGAAGCGCAAACGTACTCGACATGTGGTGAAATCAGCCGAGTCTAAATCACTTTCTCTCGTAGCTGCTTTTCAAACAGAATATGACGTTCGGAGAAAGTATGTTACTATCCAGATGAACGGTGCATCAGCTCGTTTCCAAATCGACACGGCATCAGATATCACCCTAATGTCTAGAGAAACGTACAACTCGCTGGGAAAACCGCCAATGAAGCCATCTAAGAAAACAGTTAGAAGCGCTTCAGGTGGTGTGTTAAAACTGGTTGGTGAATTCCAGTGTGAATTTTCCTTCAACGGAACAAAGTGTAGAGGAATATGTTATGTGACAGAACGGCCAAACCTTGATCTTCTTGGTCTAGATATGCTAGAAAAACTGGGAATAATGGATCTACCCATTAACAGCGTCTGCAGCGTATCGTGTTCATCATTGGACACCCCGATACTTAAAAAGAAGACAGGTGAAAGGTTACAAGATAAACGAAAGAGGAAGTCAGCCTCTGTTTCTCAGAATAGCCTTGGCCGCTGTACGAATCTGAAGGCTAACCTACCAGCGAAAGCAGATGCCAAACCTACTTCACGTCCGAGACGCCCTATACCATATGCTGTTCATGAGCCTCAACAAGACTTATCGGTGGGGAAGCAGCCCGATCGACGGTTGTCTAGAGATATGGTTCCTACAAAGCAGGCGGCTCGTAAGAGTACGGGTGGCAAGGCACCCAGGAAGCAGTTTGACCCTAGCACCAGATCCTACGAATCTTCTCAAAGGGGAGGTGTTAGTGGGACATAGATGGATTTAAAGCATGATTACGTCACTACGCGCTGATTGGCTAATTTCCTACCAAATCAGCGCCTGATCGAAGCTTGGAGAACAGGATAGAAAATTCTCGTCTTATTAGCTGCATGCTGATTGGTCAAAACCAGTCCAGTCGATCACGTGAATTTTGTTCCAGAAGTTTTCTCATGTAAAGGCTATAAATAGACTAGCATTGTATTTATCTTTGCCTTCAAGCCTTCTAGCCTTCTTCGCTTTCAAGCCTTTTTGCCTTGGCTTTCGCCATCACCTCCAGCTTCTTTTCTTTGCTATTTTGGAATACAATCCTTCCTGTTCAACCGTGTTCTGATTTGTGTTACTTGTCCAGTGTCTTGTGTCAAGAATACTAAGCAATAAGATTTTGCCGGGAATATCGTAAGCAACCATTACAACATACTTACGCAGGAAGTTCTGCGTTGGATCTGACTGACTGACTGACATCAATATAATAAGATAATAATGTCCTTCAATTGGTAGGTCATTTACAACAGAGATGGTTTGCGGGCACGTCAGACTAGATCACGAGGCGAACGCTTCAACTACAATTTAGTTGGTTAGTTATAGCATAACTACAATCGGTTATGGAAATAACTAACAGTGACATCCACCAGTGTGAATGTCTAAACTCAGATCAATTGTCTACACCTTACAGGTTTGAACTGTGATAGTTACCGTCTTCTCACTGGAACTCCGAGAATCTCCTCAACAAAGCAAGTCACTACTTAGTGAGCACATTTTTTCGATTTTGCATTCATGCTTTCAAGGTGAAACTACCATCACTATGCTACTGTAAAACGAAAACACTGGTACAAAGCTTACTTACTTATGCCTGTTACTTCCAATGGAGCATAGACCGCCGACCAATATTCTCCAACTTACACTCTGTCATGGGGTTCCCTTTCTAGATCTATCCAATTTTTGTTCATTCTTCTCATGTCTGTCTCCATTTCTCGCGCTTATTGTGTTCCTTGGCCGTCCTCTTTTCCTTCGGATTTGAGGATTCCAATGTAGTGCTTTGCATGTGACGCAGATACGCGTTTTACTCAACGGATTCGGAGCTACACAAATGCTTAAATTTCGTTGAGATGCTATTGTCTAGGTGTACAAAATAAAGTAGTTAGTTTTTTTTAGGTCACTCACTGATTCTTTGAACTATTGGTCTAATCCACAAGATAGTGGAGTAACGTCATGAGATGCAGTATCATGGTAGTCGGTGATCAAGAATAGGCTCGTATGCCATTTTGTAACTTGAGAATTCTGAAGTCCGTATGCATTGGTGGTCTGGAGTCAGGGCTTGTCAACTCTCTTGTCTGAATTTTCCGTAATCACATGTTGGAGCATTTAATGTTGTATGGACATTGTGTCAAATAGGGCAACAGGCATCATTAGCTAGGACTTTAGAATCTCGCTCAATCGATGTGTGCTGCGTCTCAGAAACGCGCATACAGGATCCTAATAAAATCATTAATCTGATTTCACCTTATCAAAATAAAGCAGCCCGAATTACTCTTCGTGTATCCGGTAGCCCTGATGCTGCTCCCCGAGGTCTCGCTGGTGTAGGTATAGCATTGAGTCATAGGGCAGAACTATCTCTCCTAGACTGGATCCCAGTAGATAGTCGCTTGTGCGTTGTCCGACTGAACGGGACAGTAAGGACTCGGAAGCATAGGGACACTCGTCGTTGCCTCCGGCGGCATTCGAGTCAGTGGATCGTGAGGTTCTGTGACAGTGTCTGTCATTGAAAGGTGTACCAAACAAGTACATTAACCTCATACAAGCTCTCTACTCTAAAACTACGGGTCGGGTGAGAGCCTATGGTGAACTGTCATCTGAATTTTCTGCATCAAGTGGTGTCCGTCAGGGCTATCCACTATCTCCATTCTTGTTTAACTTTGTCGTAGACATCCTCTCAGAGTTAACATTAACCTCGTCAGATTTTTCAGGAGTAGGCCTTTTAGCAGGAGGCTCGCTTATCGACTTAGAATATGCCGATGACATAGTCCTACTTGGTGAAGACGCTGACAAAATGCAGCGTCTTCTGACTACCCTAAGCAACAATGCTAGCATGTTCGGGATGCGGTTTTCCCCCTCGAAATGCAAAATGTTGCTTCAAGATTGGGTTGCACTGGCACCTGAACTAGTGATAGGGAGTGAAGTAGTCGAGCGTGTAGACCGCTTCACTTGTCTGGGAAGTCTCATCAGCACTGATGTCCTGGTGACTGACGAAATCTCATTTCGGATACAGAAGGCTTTTGCCAACCTGCGTCATTCTTTTTGTGCTTTTTAATTCTAATCTTCTGAATTCCTCATCATCTCTATCTTTCTCCTTCTAAATTCATCTCACTGAATTATACTTTTCGAATCATATCCTCGCTCCCTAATCTTCTCCATTACCGCTAATACTTCTACTATCGGTATCACTCTTGGATTTGAACTGACAGTTACGTCTCTGTGCTGACGTGGTATGGCAACCTGAACTGATGTACTTATGTACGAAGTTCCGCGTTGTATCTGTCTGTTTGAATTCTCCATACCCACCAACTCAATTAAAACTCTGGTTGGACATTCAGTTTTCATTTTCTCTATTTCGCAAACAGCAACGCTTATGCCACGAATGATCACTGAGAGTAGGACTTTTCTGAGAATGTCTGTTTAGGCATAGATAGCCATATTAGAGCAGATCGTTTGGCAACACGATGTCACAAATCATGAATTTTATTTTAAAACAAAAAATCTCTCATTTCATATAAACTTTTTTAGATATTTCCTATTGAATTGTGCTGATCGAGTAATCCGAGTGTATAATTGTGAAGATGCATTGAATGCAAATGTTACAGATCCGGAACCGATAAAAAAGTTGAAAGATCTTGTAACTGGGTAATTTAATAATTTTTTTGTGTGTGCGTATACTTTTTTCCTATGATGACTATTATTATCATAAATATCAATTGTAACTTATTGGTCATTGAATATATGTTGTCAGTTGAATTTTTATCGATCAGGTTTCAATATGGCCATTAGTAGTCTAAATAAATCGTCATCAACTAAGGTGATTGGGACATGTGTGTTACGTGTGGCAAACCATTGATTACTACCTCGATGGGTGATACCGTCTGGTGTAGGAATAGACTGAAAAACAAAATGTCAGGGATAACTAAGTCAGTCAGTCAGTCAGTCAGATGCAAAGTAGAACTTCGTACGTAACTACATCAGTTCAGGTTGCCATACCACATGAGCTGAGAGATATAATTGTCAATTCAAATCCAATAGTAGAAGAAGTAGTAAAGGTATTAGAAGTAATCGGAGAGGTTAGGATTAGAAGATATTATTCAGGAAGTATGATTCAGTGAGATAAGTTAAGAAAGTCAAAAGTAGAGGGATGGAAAAATCCAGAAGATTAGGATTTGAGAGAACACAGAATAAATGCACCGGCGCCATTGCAAACGGTTTTGAGCCATGTCATTCAAGGTCTCTAACCATCGATTATTATCATCTCGCGGACCCCAACCAGGTAGTCGACAATTACCGACATGGCTAAGTCCACTTGTCAATAACTTCATGGATTTGTGCCATGTTTTGGTCTGGCCGCCCCTAAATTTCTTACAACCTACTGGTACACTACAAAACAAAGCTCATCGAGGCAGTCGGTGGTTAGGCATTCGTAACACATGTTCCAACCACCTCATCTGATTAAGTTTCATTACTTCATGTATTGATCTGCCATTCTTACCTAGCACCCGTTTCCTAATAACACCGTTGCTCATTCGGCTGTCCCAGGATATACAAGCAATGTTTCGAAGACACCTATGATCGAAAACCAATATCTTCTACTCTGACTGGCCATGTTTCACAGCCATAAAGTAAGACGGAGCGAACCACTGCACAGTACACTCGTCCTTTATTCAGCAAACGGATATCTCGCCTACGCCATAAGGGATAGCTAAACTAAATCATAGTATCAGTTGATGCAGTCAGTCATTGACAATTAAACTGAATCATGTTATATAATAAGTGTAGACTACCACCTGGTTGGAGTCCGTGTGACAATTGTTTCATATCTCTCTCTGTTCGAATTGGGGCATGGTAGATTGATGTACATATATACTAAGTCCTACGGTGCAACTGACCGACTAGTCTATGTGATTTAATATCATACGGACTCTGTCAATATGTTATATGTTTGGATGTCATTACTGTGTATACCTTTCATATGTAGAGAACTAGTGTCGTCACCTAATCGACTAAAACCTTTCTTACACAGTTTCAAAGTTTGAAATATCATAGCTGAGCTGATATTTAGAGTTTGACTGGCCTTTAGGAGTAAAATATTTACAATTGGCCAATCATTGATTAGTAGATAATGTCATGTTTGTAAGGATTAGTTCAATTATCAAATTTGTTTTTTTTTATAATTGCGTGACATGGACTGGAGAATCACTTGAATACCTTCTGCATTAAGTTCTACTTGCTAATTTCAGTCTTTTCGACCAACTTGACTACAGAATTTAATAAGATCATGAAATCTGAGTGTAAAATACATTCGGCAATATCCAAACTGATGGACGTTTTAAAGAACACAACTTTAAGATACAAATAATCGAGTCAGTCAGTTAGTTACAATGTAGAACTTGGTATGTACGTACATAAGTTGGATTTGAAGATGTTGGGGATGTTCGATCCCCAAAATCCGCTTGATAAATGCCTTATTTTGGTTTTCATGTTTGCAAGCATGGGCTGATCAGTTAACCCTGAGATTTCAATTCCCACCAGAAAAATCCATGGCTGTGATTGGCTGCTGTGTATTTTAGTGTACTATTTTTGTGACTGTCCCAAGGACGTTTCTATGATGTATAAATAAACGAGAGTTTTATGCTTGATGGTATTTTGATTGCTGGGTGTTTGTAGAATATACTTTCTACGCTTACCAAGACTCATGTTTTACCGTTTGGATTCAAGGTAGCCTACTTGGACGCTGGTTTATTGTCTCGTTCGCGTTTATCGTTCAAGGTAAACTCGTAATAGCCTCAAGCATACTTAGTGATGAAAACCAATATCCGACGAGTATCTTCTACTATCATTGGCCATGTTTCACAGCCATAATGTGAGACGGAGCGAACTACTGCACGGATATCACGCCTATGCCATAAGTATCGCAGGTTGGCATAAGCCAATCGAGCCTTCTGTATCCGAGATGAGATTTCGTCAGTCACCAGGCCATCGGCACTGATGAGACTCCCAAGATAAGTGAAGCGGTCTACACGTTCGACTACTTCACTCCCTATCACTAGTTCAGGTGCCGATGCAACCCAATCTTGAAGCAACATTTTGCATTTCGAGGGAGAAAACCGCATCTCGAACATGCTTGCATTGTTGCTTGTGGTAGTCAGAAGAATCTGCATTCTGTCAGCGTCTTCACCAAGTAGAACTGACTATGTCATCGGCATATTCTAAGTCTATAAGCGAGCCACCTGGTAGAAGGTCTACTCCTGAAAATTCAGACGAGGATAAGGTTATTTCTAGGAGCATGTCTATGATAAAATTAAACAAAAATGGAGAAAGTGGACATCCGTGACGGACACCAGTTGAAATTGAGAATTCCGTTGACAGTTCGCCATAAGCTCTCACTCGACCAGTGGTGTTCAAGTAGACAGCCTTTATAAGGTTAATGTACTTCTTTGGCACACCTTTCAATGACAGACACTGCTGCAGAACCTCACGATCAACAGAGTCGAAGGCCGCTTTTAGGTCCAGGAAGACAACTATTGTAGGACGCCTAAATGTGTGTCTATGTTCCAGGACCTGTCGTAGTGTGAAGACGTGGTCTATACAGCCACGTTCAGGTCGAAAACCAGCCTGGTTTTCTCGAGTTTGCTCTTCACGAGCTTTCGTTAAGCGTCGAAGTATTATTGAGGCCAATATTTTAGAAACTATATTAGTTAGACTTATTCCCCTGTGATTGTCACAAGAAGACTTTTGTCCTTCCTTATAGATTGGGACAATTGCGTCCAGTTCCCAGACTCTACCTAAGATCTCATTCAACCTAGTTGCTAAAACTGGACCACCATCCTTAAATATCTCAGGGGTCAATCTATCGGAACCCGCTGCTCTCCCTCGCTTTATATTTCTTATCGCTTTCTCAACTTCATTAAGACTAGGAGGACTTACGTCGACTTGCCATTCATTTTCTGAGATAGTCTCACTTACACTAGGATTCCTAATACCAGTTTCCTTGATAAGTCGGAAAAGTTGTCTACTGTTGCCTATTGCCACTGCCTTTTCAATCACTTTTGCTTTCGCCACCCACCACCGTTCACGGTCGTTACGTAGACTTTTTATCAGCCTGCGCCTAAGTTGACTAGGGGGTGTAGGAATGATTTTATTTTGACCAATTTGGTCTCGTGTACTGTTACGGGTATGAGGGCGGTTGTCACTTTCCGGCCGCCCACACCGTGGAAGGTTGTTGCTTGAGGAACCTGAAAAGGAAAATAGATTAGTGTTGGTCTTGGAGACCTGGGTGCGTGATCGCAAAGCCTAGGGGACAACTGCTTGAGGCCGGTCACGCACGGCCTTTTTTTGAAAGGTAATTTGAGGATTAGCTCCGTTCTTAATGGCCCTTAGTGGGCCCATATTCAGTAAAAAATAAGAAGACTTGATATGAAGTAGAAGGTGTGTTCTACAAGCATAACGAAAGTACGACGTTCGAGTCCAGAAGAGAATCAGGATCCCGGACTAGGGATCCGGGATCGGGTCCTGGTCCTGATCGTGGTCATAAAACGTTACAAATAATGCGTATTTATACATTTTGGTCGAATAGGAAACAGCATCGAAGTCTGTGACATTGATAGTCAGGACAACCAATAAGAAACAACATTGAACCACGTGGACAATCATAAAACTGACCTGTAGAAATTAACCAATAGGAATCGACCTATAAGATTCTCTTAGGCTGTTAGATGAATATCCTAACACATTGATTGATTGGCGAATTCAACTTTCATAATGCTCTTTTTTCTCTCTCTCCCTCTCTCTCTCTATTTCCCCCTACATTATTACAACAATACTAAAGGAGTCATTGGAGAAAATGTTGTTTTTCTGGTGATGGTGAATATATTTGTGCTGGTTCAATGAAACAACATTCAATTTATTTATGGGAACGTACAAGTGGAACTTTAGTGAAAATTTTACATGGACAAAAAGGTGAAACATTATTAGATGTTGTATGGCATCCATTAAGACCAATTATTGTTTCAATATCAAATTCTGTTACAAAAGAACAAGTATCTATATGGGCACAAACACAAGTGGTTAGTAGTTGAAGTATTATTATTATTATTATTATTATTATTATTATTATTATTGTATTATTTGGTGTTTTGATTGCAAGATATTTTCATAATGAATAGTTTGTTAAGTTTCGGACTCCTTTTTCTTTTTTCCTGAAACAATTGGAGTAAGTAATGCTGTTGTTAGGAAACGAGTACTATGTAAAGATGACAAATTAGTGGTTGATGAAGTGAGATGGTTAGGACATGTGTTTTATGTATGCTCGACGACCGATTGCCTAGACGAGTGATGTTTTGTTGATGGTAGGAGTAGGTTGGAAGAAAGCTAGCTAGGTGCTATCACACCAAAATATGGCATAAATCCATGAAGTTACTTACTGACAAGTGGACTGAGTCATGTTGGTAGAGGTGTGGACTACCTGGTTGGGGTCCGCGAGATGATAATAATCGATGGTTAGTAGAGACCTTGAACGATATGGTTCGAAATCGTTCATAGTGGCGCACATGCATCCAGTCAGTCAGTCAGTTGCGACGTAGAACTTCGTACGTATGTACATAAGTTCAGGTTGCCATACCACATTAGCACAGAGACGCAAATGTCAAATCAAATCCCATAGTGATAGAGATAGTAGAGGTATTAATGGTAATGAAGAAGACAAGGGTTCAAAGATATTATTCAAGAAGTATAATTCAGTGACATAAGGTTAGAATGACAAAAGTAGAAGTGCTGACGATTCCAGAAGATTAGGATTTGAGAGAGCACAAAGAGTGGATACAACTGCGCCATTCCGAACGACTTTAAGCCATTTTGTTCAAGGTCTCTAACCATCGATTATTATCATCTCGCGGACCCCAACCAGGTAGTCGACAATTACCGACATGACTCAGTCCACTCGTCAATGACTTCATGGATTTCTGCCATGTTTTGGTCTGGCCGCCCCTAACTTTCTTCCAACCTACTACTACACTACAAAACATAGCTCGTCGAGGCAGTCGGTGGTTAGGCATACGTAACACATGTCCCAACCACCTCAACTGATGAAGTTTCACCACTTCATCTATTGATCTGCCATCCTTACCTAGCACCCGTTTCCTAATAACAGGGTTGCTCACTCGGTTGTCACACGATATACGAGCAATGCTTCGAAGACACCTATGATCGAATACTAGTAACCTACGAACATCTTCTACTCTTTTAACGGCCATGTTTCGCATCCGTATAGGAGAACTGATTCATTATTCCAACAAATATAAAAATCATCAACTAACTGTATAATTTTATTCAATAATTTATACAATAGAATCTATTCTTTCCTCTTTTGTTTTCCCCACAGCAAAATTGGTCAGCTTTTGCACCAGACTTTAAAGAACTTGACGAGAATGTGGAATATGAAGAGCGAGAGTCCGAGTTCGATATTGAAGATGAAGATAAAATGATTGAAGAAAATAAGAGTAGGTTTCTTTTTTTGATTGTGTGTGAGTGTGAGTGAGTGAGTGTGTGTGTGGGTGATTACAACCCTTGTTTACAAGATACCGATTGGTCTACATGGTTTGCAATCTGACAAATTGATTGTTAAAAATCATCAATCAATCAATCAATGTTGGATCAACATTAGACACTTGAAAGCATTGGACAGAATTGTTGTCCTTGAATTGTGCATCCACATCTCATGTTACTTGCAGGATTCAACTCCAAGACCGTTGATTGTACGCGCATGAACACCTAACCTCTAATCCACTGGGTTGGGTTTGAATCCTGCCTGTAGCAGGAGAGACGTGAATGCGCAATTCGAGGACAAGACAGTTGTCGAGTGCTTTCAGGTTTCTAATGGTGTGTGCTCCAACGTTGATTGATTCATGAGTGCAAGTTTACAGTTGTCCAAATTGTAGTTAGATACACTTGGATTCAAACTTGCAATCGTAACACTGAATTTGTATGGTCGATTAAATAACCGCAGATAAGAAGACACAGTTGATCTGTAAAAAAACGGTTGTGATGTATTTTTATGGTACTTACTTACTTACTTACTTACGCCTTTACCCCCAATGGAGCATAGGCCGCCTACCAGTTTCCCCCAACCAACTCTGTCCTGGGCTTCCTTCTCCAGTTCTGTCCGATGTTTGTTCATTCCTCTCATATCTTTCTCTGTTTCTCGGCGTAGTGTGTTCTTTGGCCTTCCTCTTTTCCTTTTGCCTTGAGGGTTCCATGTGAGGGCTTGTCTCGTGACGCAGTTAGGTGCTTTTTGTAGTCTGTGTCCTATCCACTTCCACCGCCTCTTCCTGATTTCCTCCTCCACTGGAATGTGGTTTGTTCTCTCCCACAGTGCGTTGTTGCTGATGGTGTCTGACCAACGAATCCGAAGTATTTTGCGCAGACAACTGTTAATAAACACTTGTATCTTCTGGATGATGGCTTTCGTAGTTTGGAGTCCTCTCCAGATGTTGTTCAATTGTAGAAAAGCAGCCCTTGCTTTGCCGATTCGCTCTGTCACAACTGCATCAGATCCACCGTGATTGTCGATGACGCTGCCCAGATATGTAGAAGTGTTAACGTCTTCCTATGGATCTCCATCAAGAGTGATTTGGTTGGCACATGTGGTGTTTTATCGGAGAATTTCGCTTTTTCCTTTCAGTCAGTCAGTCAGATGCAACGTAGAACTTCGTACGTAAGTACATCAGTTCATGTTGCCATATCACATCAGCACAGAGATATAATTGTCAATTCAAATCCAGTAGTAGAACAGGTAGAGGTAGTAAAGGTATTAGAAGTAATCAGAGAGGTTAGGATTAGAAGATATTATTCAAGAAGTATGATTTAGTGAGAAAAGTTTAGAAAGTCAAAACTAGAGTGGTTGAAGAATCCAGAAGATTAGGATTTGAGAGAACACAAAGAATAAATGCACCGGCGCCATTGCGAACGATTTTGAGCCATGTCATTCAAGGTCTCTTCTAACCATCGATTATTATCATCTCGCGGACCCCAACCAGGTAGTCGACAATAACCCACATGGCTAAGTCCACTCGTCAATGACTTCATGGATTTGGTTTGGCCGCCTTCAGCTTTCTTCCAACCTACTCCTACACTACAAAACAAAGCTCGACGAGGTAGTCGGTGGTTCGGCATACGTAAGACATGTCCCAACCACCTCAACTGATGAAGTTTCACCACTTCATCTGCCATTCTTACCTAGTACTCGTTTCCTAACGACAGCATTGCTTACTCGGTTGTCCCACGGTATACGAGCAATGCTTCGAAGACACCTATGATCGAAAACCAGTAACCTACGAATATCTTCTACTCTTACTAGCCATGTTTCACAGCCATAAAGTAAGACGGAGCGACTGACTGACTGACTGACGGAGCGAATCACTGGACAGTACACTCGTTCTTCAGTCAGCAAACGGATATCTCGCCTTCGCCATAAGTGACGCAGTTTGGCAAAAGCCAGTCGAGCTTTCTGTATTCGTGCTGAGATTTCGTCAGTCACCAGAGCCATCACCACTGATGAGACTCCCAAGATAAGTGAAGCGGTCAACGCGCTCAACTGCTTCACACACTATCTCTAGTTCAGGTGCCGATGAAACCCAATCTTGAAGCAACATTTTGCATTTCTAGAAGGGAAACCGCATCCTGAACATGCTTGCATTGTTGCTTAGGGTAGTCAGAAGATTCTGCATTTTGTATGTATGTATGTTGAGACCTACTGCTGCAGAGGCTGCTGCTACACTGGTTGTCTTCTCTTGCATTTCAGAGTATAGTGTCGGTCACACCAAAGTCAGTTGAAAAAAATTAAATAGTATTATGATTATTACTACCACTTAAACATAATTATTAATACATAACGACACTTTATATGTATACGATACACAAATTTTTGAATTTGTATATGCGTTGAGTTACTGCCTGTGAGTGTTCAAACCGAAGTAGATCGTTTTGTTTGTTAGACCACATCTTGAACTTTTGACCGACAGATCTAATCCACAAGACAGTTGGAGCAATGTAAGAAAGAAAATACAGTCGCATAGTAGCCGGTGACCAACAATATTTTCACATGTCATTCGTTTTATCAAGATCCTGGTATGAGGGTTTTGTAGTCCACTTACTATGTGTAGATCCTCTGTAATCACTAAACCCTGTGTTAAGTAACCAGTTGGATATTCGCTTTTCCTCCTCTAAATTTCATAAACAATACTTATATCACGAGAAAGAGAGAGTAGTGATTAGAACCTCGTTGACACTGGGAGATTTGAATTGACATTTGCATCTGTATGCTTTTGTGGAATGGCAACTTGAACTGATGTACCTACGTACAAAGTTCAACGTTTTAATTGACTAAGTGATTGATATTGATGCCTATATTTGTCTTGGCCATTTAAGAGAAAGAGCGGACTCTAAATTTTTGTTATGCTTGACAATTGATATGGCGTAGAACTATTACAAGTTCAACTTCTTCGGTAAACGAGACCGAAGACAAATGATCCAAGTGACACGATAGGCTACGCTAATCTGAGTGTCCCAAGGCCCTATTAAGTAGAAGAAGAGGTCTTGAAAAGACGTAGAAAGTGTGCATTCTACAAGCACGCATGATAGAAACGTCCTTGAGAAAGCCACTAACATAACAAATCAACCAATGACAGTCAAGGATTCCCCGGCTGGGAAATATAACCCCCAAGGTCAACTGACCAGCCCATGCTCGAAAACGGAAAAAAAAAATCCAAAATGAGGACCTTTCATCCACTGAATTCTGGGGATCTAACATCCGTCAACAATTATCGCCATTTTAATCATTATCCAAACTCCTCTGTGTGTATGGTTTTATTAAGTGATTTAGCTGTTTTTATATTATAGACTTAATTTCTTTGCAATCCTCATCACAAACAACAAAATGTTGTGAGTTGTGTTATTTGCCTGAATATTAATTTTTTTTATTATCTCTGAATTCCTATCACTGTAATGTTTGTTTTTGATACACTTACTCACCAATACTACTACTGCTATTGTCTAACTATGATTTTGTTATTGTGTTCTTAATTTATTCTAACACTGTGTGTGTGTGTCTGTGTGTTTCTGTGTGAACTTACACTACAATTTGCTTATTGGTTTTCGCCGCTAGTATTTGAAATGAACATATTTTTTCCAATTCCTTTGAAGTGAACTATTTTGTTGTTAGTTAATCTGCCATGGTCGTATTGGTGTTTCAGTGTATATTCCATTTGTATGATGAAGGTATCTTGAGTTACTAGAGGAGGGGAAAGTGAACATGCAGGGAGGAGTGTAGGGTGAGTGAGTGAGAGAGAGAGAGAGAAGTGACCCAACAAGCGCACATAAAATGCATTTTACATTGAATCAATATATCAATTAAACAACAATTTGTCATCACTCTTAAACCTCTTGACCGTAGCTGCTACCTTGACTCGTGGTGGTCGGGCTGGCCTATCGTGATGACCCAACTGAGCTATATTGGCTAGAACATATATGCTAGACAGGTTGATTGGAGAACGATGAGACTTAAAGCAGCTACTCAAGGTCTGAGGGCGAAGTCGTACTGCTGACTGTGATGGAGGGGTGTGACAGTAGTGAGGTGGTTTCCTCGGACAACCAGCATCTGCAGCAATGCTGCTGCTGCCTTCTCACAAGGAAGGGAGGTTTAGAAATGGTCAACCCTAAAAATGTCACGCCTCACCCTACCTCATGGATTTCCATCTCCGGCGGTAAGGACTGCTCAATAAGAGCCTTAGAAGAGCGGAGCTAATACTCAAAAGGCTTTTCATAAAAAGGCCGTGCATGACCGGCCTCAAGCAGTTGTCCCTTGGGCTCTGCGGTCACGCAACCAGGTCTCTAAAACCAAGTCTAATCCACCTCCCTTTTCAGATCCCTCAAGAAACACCCTTCCACGGTGTGGGCAGCCGTGAAGTAATATTCGTCTTCATACCAATAAAAGCACACTCTTAAACCTCAAATTCATAGAATCTAAACTAAAAAAATGAAATTAGGAGCAGATGGCGTAAAGATTTTTAACTGACTGTATATGGGAGTAAGTATCGGAAGATGTAGAAATCTTTACATTAACTAACTGGGCAGCATCATTCATTGGTGAGCAAGGTGGATCTGACGCAAGTGTGGAGGCATAGATTGACAAAGCAAGGGTAGAATTTACTCAGTTGAACAATGTTTGGAATTCAAAACAACTATCTTCCAGCTGACACCAAAGTCAAAAATTTCCAAAACGAACATCAAGACAGTTCTATTGTATGGGGTAGAAACTTGCAGAACTAAGGATTACAACCATTCAGAAGATAAAAGTGTTTATTGACAGTTGTCTACGCAAGATACTTCGGATCCGTTAACCAGACACCTTTAGTATCAACCTACGGTGGGAGAGAATAAACCAGATTTCAATGGAAATCAGGAAGAAGTTCTGTAGGTGGACAGGACAAGACAAGCCCTCACT